CCCTCAGCTTCAGGAAACTTTTCATCAGGTCCCTAAAAGGGGAAACCCGGAGTTCCTCCCGTCCTGCTTTCCCCCGGTTTGCGCAAGCCGCCCCTCATTTTTCCAGCTGGGATCCCTAGAGACCCAGTGGGGAAAGGTCACCGTAAGCAGTCCCCTGCCTGCGCCCTGGGGAGAAGGAAGGTAGCAATAAAAGCTGTCACCAGGGGATGGGTGACGGCTTGGAAGAGGTGTTGGCCCTACGTGGAGCCAAGGGCGCAAAGGGGTCGCCGTGACGCGGAGGAGGCGAGCAGAGAAGCTGCGGCGGCGGCGGCGGCGGCGGCATCGCCAGAGTGTGGGGCGGTGGCCGCGCCAGGGGATGGGGAGCTGTCCTTTCAGCACCACTGCGAGGGGCACTAGATTGGCTCCTGCTCCGGCTCCCGCGGGTGCCTGCGATGCGTTCTGCTGTCTCTCTTGGGGTCAAAGGGGGCGTGCAGATCGATAGAGGTAGCTCTGTGAGCGTCGGGGCCAGCAGCCACCTGTGAGCCTTCTGCAAGTGCGGGCGGCGACGGCGGCGGCATCTTCGGCCCGAGACAGGAGGAGACGCTCAGCGGACCCCGCCCGCTGGCCCGCCGGGCGCATACACAGGCGCACACACACTCGCACCCGCGCGCACACGCACAGCCAGCCCGCAGCGGCGGCCGCAGTGATGCTCGCCAGCAGGTCGGGGAAGTTTCCCGCCGGCCTTGGCCGCGGGCCCCAGTGCTCGCAGGTAAGCGCTTCCAGAACCCTCAGGGCGAGCCCTGGCAGCTCCGCTGGGTGAGGCGCGGCGCACGCGGCTCGGGAGCACGGCGCCTGGCGGGCAGGGAGGCCCGGGGCGGAGGGCGATGGTGCTCCAGCCGTGGGAGCTGGACACAGGGGACGCCAGGCCGGCCCCCTTCTCCCAGCCCGGGTTTATAGACTCGAGCAGCGAATTTCCCCACTCCCCTCCTGAAGCTACGCACCCCCATCTCGGCCCAGCCCTGCCGGTGCGCATCCCAGCTCAGGTCCCGCCTGTCTGCGGCGAGCGGGCGGGGGCGTCTCCTCGGCCCGCCCACGGGCAAGATCAGCTCGTAGCCCCCTGGGCTCCCAGAGCCGCGGGGGGCGCGATCCTGGGAGCCTAAAGCGATCGGCATGGCCCCCGGAATGGGGGTGGAGGCGCGGCTGTGCATGCTCGTGGAAACATACCCTCCCCCCCGAAGCCTTTCCTTGAGAGGGGGCCAAACCCCAGAGAACCACTCCCCCTATCTCAGTGCCCTTCAGTACCCAGAGACCCGCCTGGAGAGGACTGGGCCCGCCAGAGCTAGATGGGTAAAATCAGAGGGGCGCGGGGGTCCTGAGTACATCGCCCTCACCGGACACGGTTCCCTCTGCTTCCAGGTGTAGCGCCCCCGCGCGGCGCGGGCGGCTGGTCGTCTCCAGCATGACCCGCCAGAGCCTGTGGGATGATGTGTCGGAAGCCAACGTCGAGGATGGAGAGATCCGCATCAACGTAGGAGGCTTCAAGAGGAGGCTGCGCTCTCACACTCTGCTGCGCTTCCCCGAGACGCGCCTGGGCCGCCTGCTGCTCTGCCACTCGCGCGAGGCCATTCTGGAGCTCTGCGATGACTACGACGATGTCCAGCGTGAGTTCTACTTTGACCGCAACCCGGAGCTCTTCCCCTACGTGCTGCATTTCTACCACACCGGCAAGCTTCACGTCATGGCGGAGCTGTGCGTCTTCTCCTTCAGCCAGGAGATTGAGTACTGGGGAATCAACGAGTTCTTCATCGACTCCTGCTGCAGCTACAGCTACCACGGCCGCAAAGTGGAGCCCGAGCAGGAGAAGTGGGATGAACAGAGCGACCAGGAGAGCACCACGTCCTCCTTCGACGAGATCCTGGCCTTTTACAATGACGCCTCCAAGTTCGATGGGCAGCCCCTGGGTAATTTCCGCAGGCAGCTGTGGTTGGCGCTGGACAACCCCGGCTACTCAGTCCTGAGCAGGGTCTTCAGCGTCCTGTCCATCCTGGTGGTGTTGGGCTCCATCATCACCATGTGCCTCAACAGCCTGCCGGACTTCCAAATCCCTGACAGCCAGGGCAACCCTGGCGAGGACCCTAGGTTTGAAATCGTAGAGCACTTTGGCATCGCCTGGTTCACGTTTGAGCTGGTAGCCAGATTTGCTGTGGCCCCCGACTTCCTCAAGTTTTTCAAGAATGCCCTAAACCTGATCGACCTCATGTCCATCGTCCCCTTTTACATCACTCTAGTGGTGAACCTGGTGGTCGAGAGCTCACCTACCTTGGCCAACTTGGGCAGGGTGGCCCAAGTCCTGAGACTGATGCGGATTTTTCGCATCTTAAAGCTGGCCAGACACTCCACTGGCCTCCGCTCCCTGGGGGCAACCCTGAAATACAGCTACAAGGAAGTAGGGCTGCTTTTGCTCTACCTCTCTGTGGGGATTTCCATCTTCTCTGTAGTGGCCTACACCATCGAAAAGGAAGAGAACGAGGGCTTGGCCACTATCCCTGCCTGCTGGTGGTGGGCAACTGTCAGTATGACTACTGTGGGGTACGGGGATGTGGTCCCAGGGACCACTGCTGGGAAGCTGACTGCCTCTGCCTGCATCCTGGCAGGTATCCTAGTTGTGGTCCTGCCCATCACCTTGATCTTCAATAAGTTCTCCCACTTTTATCGGCGCCAAAAGCAACTTGAAAGTGCTATGCGCAGCTGTGACTTCGGAGATGGAATGAAGGAGGTCCCCTCCATCAATTTAAGGGACTACTATGCTCATAAAGTTAAATCCCTCATGGCAAGCCTGACGAACATGAGCAGGAGCTCACCAAGTGAACTAAGTTTAAATGATTCCCTACAGTAGCCAGGAGGACTTCTTGTCCTCAAACCCACATTGCTGAGTTGCCTCTAGTGCCGCTGGCACAGTCCAGGCACCTTAGGGTTATGGCGTAAGGAGTGTGCCCAGCCCCAAAGGGGAGAGATGCATGGGATGTGTGCCCCAGGTTGCTTTTACAGTATTAGAATCATGTTTAGAGGATGGCGTGTCTGACACCATGCCTTGGAACCTTTCAGTGAAATGACACTCACTGGTCTTTGCATCGTGGACATAAAATGTTCACCGTTTTGCTGGATGAGTACCGCCTAGAATGCTAATTTTTATGTTCACTTTGTACTCTTTTCTAGTGCTTGTGGCCCAGTACTGTCTGTGAGTTGTTTGTGCTCCTGTTTCTGAGGTTGTCATGTGAGTGCTACACAAAATGCCCCCACAAGTCTGTCCAGTGGAAACACATCTATGGGGTCAGCAAGGATATGATGAGATTTTGCTCACGTTGTGTGTAAACAAAATCTCAGTTCTTTATTCATTGCTCTCGCTTAGTTTTAATGCCAAAACAAAGAGAATGTGAAGTTAAGCACATGACCAATGCAAGTCTATGAGATGTTTTTATAAATTATCTAGCTCTGTGACATGCATGGGGACACTGGTCACCTTTAGAACAATGTATGCTGATGTTCATGTCATAAATGTTGCTCTTTAGAGAATGTTACTCAGTTAAATATGTAGTGAAGACAGAAATGTTTTTCCTAGAATAGATGCATTAGGGACAGAGGCTTCAGCTAAACATAGGCCAAATTGCAGGATGCTTAAAGGCTTCAAATTCAAGCCTCTGCTTTTCCTAGGGTGACCGTGGAGACATTTATTTCTGGCTGAGGATCCTGGTCTAGGCCATTTGATCAAACTTTGCTGTGTCTCAGATATTAGCATGTTTTAAAAATATTCATTTTTAAAAAATGTTTAGAAATAAGGTCATGTTGTCTTTCTCAAGTAAAAGGGGTTTATTGTTGTATTGTCTCCCAGAGGCGAACATCATAGGGTTGCTAGCAAGGGCAGTATATTAGAAACTTTTGTTGCCTGCTCTGCAAGCTTATAAAATGAGAGCCCCTTTGTCCAAGCAGAATTTACTTAGATAGTTTTGCTTCTAGGATACAGATTGATGTATATGATGGTCTAATTGCCCTGGAGTTCCTGGTATGACATGGAAATCTGGTGGTGTGGAAGTCTGTATGCAAAATATACAAGTGCGTGGAGGCTGTGTTGCTTAGCCAGAATGGAAATGCTATAGTTCTTATTTCCATTTCAACTGCCTTTTATTGGGGAAGGGTGGGTAAAGGACAAGAAAAAAGGAAAGAGTTGTGAAACAAAACATTGCTACTGTCATAAATAACTATAAACTCCTTGAAAAGCTTGATGCCCTTTAAAAGGCCTTTAAACTTCTAAACTTGTGCTGAAGGTTGAGAAAGTTTGCTTTCTCCAAACTACCCTTCCTCTTTGTCAGTTAACAAGCACATACCATTGTGAAAGGGAAGCTGAGCCCCTTTGTAAGATAGTTCTCCGTTATCTTCTGTGTAGTCAGTTGGCTTCCGTTATTGTTCAGTCTTTGGAAAGGCTGCAGAATCCAGGGCTCTCAGCATGGAGTTAGGCAGGCATTTTATCCAAGGCTTGGGCCTTCCCTAAGGAAGTCCAGTCCATTTTGTGTCTTAGTTGAAGGTAATACACACCTCATCGGGATGTGGTGAGGCTCTTATCAGAAGGCTTTGTGTACTTGTAGTTGCCAAGGCCACTACAGAGTGGGCGATGTGTTGGATGAATGCACTAGTCACTTATGACCTTGAGTCCACAAGCTCAAATCCTTCCATCAGACTGAAGCCTCATGGGGGGTGGAGAGGTGACCACCTCCTAGTACCTGATGGTCTCCCATCTACATCTGTTTCTCAGAAGCATCAGGAAAAGTGAAATGACTTTGGGGCAATCAGCTACCAAGCTAGAAGAGCAGGATTATTTTTCAGAATTTGCATGTGAAACGCTTGGCTTTGGATGATGTTTCCAGCACTGGAAGGCAGAGAATTTACAAAATCAGCCCCAGCTGCACTGAAAGCAGGTGATGGTACAAACTTGTGAGGACTGTTCAGTTTGCCAGAGCTGATAGTATCAGGTGACTGAGCATGGTATCCATAGTCAGTGACCATAAAGCTTGTGAAAAGTGGTGACAAAGAAGGAGGCAGAATAACTCGGTCACTCTCGTGAGTTATTCTTCTAAACAGGCAGGTTTTACTAAAAAGGAGACACTCCTAGTGATTACTCTTTGCAGAAGTGAAAGCTGGAAAACTTGACTTTTCATTTTGGTAATGACTTGCATTTTATCTGGTGCCTTTCATTAGGAAATCCCAAAGTGCTTTAGAGATTGTCTTTTGAACATTTGTTGTATATATATATATATATATATATATATATATATATATTTGTATAAAATTTTACTTTGCCCACCCTGAAACTTCAGTCACTTCTGAGCATGAGAACGCCCTAATAGCATCAAGTTCTCCAAGTGGTGGTTTCAGATAAGAGGGAAAGAGAACAACCCAGCAGGCTTGAACACTGGAATTCATTCCCACAGAGAATGGAGACTGAACTGTGATCCAGGGAGAAATAACCTTCTTCTCTTCCAAAGTACCACCAAGGGAAGAAGTTCACAAGTGCTTTCAATTGGGCTCTGAAGGACCTGGCTACACAACATCTTATGTAGCAGTTTCTTCTGGTCCCTGAGGCTAATCAGGGAGGATCAGGTTAATTGTTTGCTCTGTTTCTGGAGTTAAGAATATAAGTATGAGGTGACATCTTTGGCCACCAGACTGTTAGACTGACCCACAAACATCCTTTAGGGGGGGCAGTGGAAGCTTCAGATCACTTACTTCCAACTGTTTGCTTGAGAGCAGCTTCACTCCCGACATTTGAAGGTTGTAACCTTCAATGCCACTGGGACGAGTATATGGCCAGGCCTTCCTCACAATGAACATTTTGAGAGTGCTGGTTGGGAGGTGACACTATGACTTTATTGCATAGAGGCATATTGGTTTTAAGTTAGTGTTTTCTGCCAACCCCCTACATTTCCTGGGTTTGCTGCCAAGGAGGGGCATGTTGTAATGCCGAGCTGATTTGTAGCTCCTGAGGTAGTAATTGGTATTTAATATTTGGACTTGTTATTTCTACTTATCTTAGTAGTCAAATAATTGAACTACCTGCTAATTCTTGCCTCATTTCAAAGAAAATGATTTGTTACGCACTTTGGGATAGCAGTAATCTGTACAGGCTGTGTGTTACCTACTTGAAGGCTTAACTGGTATTTCTTGTATGTTTTAACAGCATGACTTGTTACAGAGTTGTAATTTTAAAAATTGAGAACGCTGTATTTGCGATGTCAGTTTTAACACTCATTAACACGCTACTGTGCAAGCACTGACATGGCCCGCTGCAGCCTTATGTCTGATGAGTGCACTTCAGTCCTCATGCCTCGACTCGGGAACGAGGAGTGACACTGACACTTAGGACTCTAGCCCTGAAGAGTATGCCAAATTAAATAGAAAAAAATTATTTACGCTTCCTTAAGGCACTT